AAAGAGCCGTACCTCTCCCGGAGCGCAGCTCTAAGCAGGCGCCACTGCTTGCCTCGTGCATAATGGCCTCTTAAAAATTAAACACCTAGACGAAACAAACCGCCGCAAAGCCCCTTTCATTCTTCTCATTAAATTGTCTGTATTTTAAAATAGTATCTCCTTGGTGTGAGAAGGGGAAAAATACTGACCTGTGACATGATTAGACAAGTAAAGGAGAAACTAAGAATCCGTAGGAGACGAAGGAAAACTAACGAGATTTCCAGTTGAATGTATTGTTCCCTATTTCCAGGCAATGTTTTTGAGGGGGGATTTCCGGGCAGTTTTTCTTGGTTTCAGAAATTTAAAAAAAATAAAGAAGTTTCTGATGTGTAATCATAAGCGTAATAGAAAAGACAAGTAGGAAGTCAAGTGCAGGCAACTTCGCGCTTAGAACTGTCTGTCCAGGCGGGCAGTCCCTGGTACTCCCTGGGTTCCAAATTGGTCTCGCCATGACTTGACCAGCACCCCACCTGGATTTCGAGGTATTCGAACACTTAATCCATTTACTTCCTTTTCTTCCCGGATTTTGAGGGAGAATATTCTGCCTGTGTATTCTAAATGGACTAGAACATAAAGAACTCCCACATATTATGAAGTGGCATCTAGAAGAAGGGAGGCTCATCATTTCCGGGGGCTGTGAGGGGGCGGGGAGCTCGCCCTCACCAGGAACTTTGCTCTTTTACTGTGAAGCCACAGCCACCATAATTGGAGAAATGAGGAAGTTGGATAGAAAAAAGGAGGTTGTAATTATTCAGGATGATGATTTACCCCTTAACAGGTTTTAAAAAATTGTTTATAATACAAAAATGCCTGTGTTTTACAGCTTAAAGTTGAACTGCACAACTTATTTTTCCAGCCCCGTATTGCTTGGTAGGATATTGTTTTAAAAGTAAAAACAGCTAGGGAGGCCTGCAGTTCTAGGCTTCCAAAGTTTAAGAACCCAAGCTCGCCTGGGAGCTTAAAAGAGAAATACTAACGGAACAATTATGGCCCCAAATTTCACTATTTGAAAGAAAAAAAAAAAAAACCCAGAAGACTTAATCTATTGTTAAATGTTAGATACTCTAAACAGAATTGTAGGAGCTCTGGTAGCATAGTGCCTAAGGCACTTGACTGCTCACCAGAAGGCTGGCGGTTCAAACCCACCAACCACTCCTCGGAAGGAAGGTTGGGCAATCCTACTTCCGTAGTGATACTGCCTCGGAAACCCAAGGAGGGGTCGCTATGAGTCGGGGCCGACTCGACGGCAAAACAACAACAAAACAGAATTGTAAAATTCACATAAATGGCTACTTGAAAAAAATCTTAGCCTCCCAAAAATAGATTCTATATATAAACAGACAGTTGTAAAATCTTCCAAGTTGTTTCATTTTCTTACATTTTTACTCTCATGTATATTTATTGGTGCTAATGATTGGAGAAATCTTACCTCTAAACTTACCTACTCAACCAAAGGTAACTTGGAAATAATCTCTATTTTTGGTACCTAATTATCTTGAAGTATTTAGGTATTGACTTCTATTTAGTTGCACAACACATTATTTATTACAGTCCTCATAAAAAATTAAAATTTGGCTAGAAAGCAAAATATTATTACACACTTATTACCTATTAAATAATTTAAGCAATTTTAGTTTTCAATGAGTTTTTCGTTCTTGTTTTATTGAAGCATCACATTAAAATACATTATGGCTAAATGTTCTACAATATTACTGCTAAATCAACAGAAAACCAATTGATCTTGAGGAAAGGTTAATTAAATTGGACTATAGGTCTCCTACTTTGGTCTGCATTGAAAGGAATTTGTATTGATTGTGGAAGTTTTTTTGCAAAGAAGTTTAATAAGCATTTTCATGGAAACTGAGATCAATTTTTAAATGCCAAAACAAGGTTTTAAAAATTTATCACTTCAGGAATTTTTCTCTGTCATTGCTCATCGAAATCTGTTAGAATCCTGAGAAAAAAGTGTTTTTTTGTTTTTTAATATTTTCAGTGAATTCCATCCTGGGTATCTAGCTTCAAGACAATGAAAACAGAAGAATTTTAATAGGATTTTGCTTGTTTTAATCCTCCTCTCATAATAATTCTCATCAGTTTGTTCTTCTGAGGCAGACCAAGAGAGGACAATGGAAAATTAAATTTTATCTTTGACTTAAACACAGGATTAGTCATTATGTAGAAAACTGACAGAGCTGTCTTCTGCTTGGAATGCTAGAGTTTCGTTTCTCCTCAATACAACTGGCGACTTTGTCTTCTTCCCTGTTTAGTTTTCTTCTCTTTTTTAGTGGGTCAAAAATATTTTTGGTTGGCTCTTCCTAAATGCAAGGTGAAAGTAACATTTGAATCTTCCCTCCCCAGGAACATACACTCACTCCCGAAACGTTTTTACCGTGTGTGTGTGTGTGTGTGTGTGTGTGTGTGTGTTTATACGGTGGCATTGTCGGTGGACTCGGAGGGCCTCTGGGCTCCACACTTGGGTCAGTAGGAAGGTTTTCCCTCCTTGCTCCCTCCTCTCTCCCTCCTCCCTCCAAAAACCCCTCCCCCACCTCGGGCGAAATTCCTAAATGCTGGGAGCCCAGTGGACAGGCAAAGCAGGCGATGAGCGGTTAGCATCCTCTTTCCAGCACTCGTCTGCGAGAACGGCTGAGGGGAAGAAAAATGGAAACAAGAAGATGGAAATGGGGAAGAGGACGGTGGGCAGGCCCCAGCACTCTCTCTGCAGCACAGACGTTTTTCTCCCGGCCCCGGGGCGCGGCGCTCGGGCCCTGGCCGTTCCGGCGCTTGTGTGTTCCGGTTTCCGAGGAAGGGATTACGCAGCGGGAGCAACCGCAGCAAAGCGGGCCGTTGTGGCCACAGGAGTGGTTACGAGGCGCCTGGCCTTCTTTGTTGACTTTAAGGTCTCAGGCTCCAAGGAAGATTTATTCGCTAGGAGGGGAAAATGCCCAAACAATGAAGAACTAACTGCACTTGTCACCTCGAGATGCTCGCAGTCCTCCTGTGCCCCCTCCACCGGCAACAGCTGCCCCGCTCCCTGCTAGTGCGCGCTTCAACGCGTGGGTCGACGCTCGCCTAGCGGCGCCAGATGCGTGGTCAGAAAACCGCGTGAGACCCAGGAGAGCTAGGTCTGCAGGACTGCTTTGTGCCCAAGCGAGCCCCGCTCCTGAGACCCATCATTCTAAACTCCCAAGCCGGTCTCCAAAGTGGCCTCCGCCACAAGTGCGGGGCTCTTCGCCCTCCGCAAACCCAGAAAAAGTCTCCGTCCAGTAAGAAAGCAAGAGCTACACACACGCCGGCTGGTGAGAAAGGCAAGACGCTGATAATGCTAATACGTTAAGAGGAGGAGAAACAGCACGGAAACTGGGAACAGCACAAAAGCGAGATCTTGGATTCACTGACCAAAAAAAAAAGAACCCTAAGGAATGGATTCTGTATTCAGGCCTTGATACTAAACGTCGAATTCAAACTTGCCAACATTTGCCTATTTAAAAAATAAATATGAATAACTTTTGGGATTCAAAGCTTTTTCCTTTTTAGGCTGTTTTTCGTTTTTGTTTTCACGTCCCTCCGAGGCCTACATATTAGGTTTTGAAGTTACTCAAATCAGTAATTTCCACTCCTCCTCCTTTCATTTACCTGAAACGACAGCTAGGGTTTGGGATTTCTGGGTTTTTCTCAAGTGCTAATGGCACCCCTTCTCTCTTCTGGGGAGACAATTACGCGCTCATTAAGGGACTCACACAGATTTTTTTTTTTTTTTTTTTTATCTTGTCCGTAGTGTGGGGTGGAGCGATTGAAGTAAAGGCTGTCCAAGTTCAAGCCCTGGAGAGAATGGAGTTCACGCACAAGGGCTCTGGCGAGGTCAGCCCCTTCTTGAGCTGCTGGTGGTATGATTGATGTCAATCCCAACAAGACTTAGAAAGAAATAGGTAGACTGGAAAGTGAGCCTACTATCAAAGGAGATTAATGATTTTGTGATCCCAAGCAACTGTGGGGTGTGAAGTTGCATTTTAAAGCTTCTTAGAAGTCAAATCTGTCTTGGCGGAAGTACAGCCAGAATGCTCCTTAGAAGCCGGGATGGCAACACTTGTCTCGTGTGCTTTTGGACATTTTATCAGGAGGGACCAGTCCCTGGAGAAAGACATCAGACTTGGCAAAGTAGAGGGTCAGTGAAAGAGAGGAAGACCCTTAAGGAGATGAATTGACACAGTGGCTGCACCGGCTCAAACATAGCAAGGACTGTGAGGCTGGTGCAGGACTGGGCAGTGTTTCGCTCTGTTGTACATGGGGTCGCTATGAGTCGGACCTGACTCGACAGCACCTAACAACAACAACAACAGAAGTCAAACAAACGATCAGCTTTAAGTTCTAGGAACAATACTTAAAAAAAATATCGTCATAAAATACAAAATAACAGCTATGTTCAATGTGGTCCAATGCTTGCCCTTGTAGGAGAGAATTAACTCCATTCCCTCCAAAGCTACTCTGATTTTGTTTCTGTTTTAATGAGAAAAAGATTCAGGATTCTCTGTTGTAGACAACTTAATCTGTATTTTATTCTCACATGAATACTTCTCAGATAAAGAAGAATGATATATGCAGGGAGTAAGGTAGTTAAATTAATAACATTTGATTTCATTATGGAAAGACTCAAAGGAAACACAGAAGGCTTAAGCTCATGTCAAAAGTGAAAGTACACATTAATGTGAATAAAGAATCTTTTAAAAATCTCAAATCTTTCAACATTTAATCAATTTATCTACCTACTTTTATTGAGTTTTCTTAACTGCCTTTGACCAGCTGTCTGTTCATATAATAAACATAGCTGGAACAATGACAATTTTGTTTTACATTATTTTCCTTTTGTTATTTATATTCAGTCCCGGATTTTGAAAAATATTGTATTCTAAATATCCATGTAGGATTTAATTCATTGAAGGAGAACAACAGAAATCCTTTTTTGGTAACATTTGCTTTATTTAAAGTCCTTAACTCAAATGATCAAGAACATATTTCACGGCTTGAATCTGTTTTCATTTTCATTATTTAAATCAAAATATTTAAATTACAATCACACTGATAAAAATTAACATTTTAATCTGTAATTTTAACCATCATTCAATGCAATTTCAGCTGTAAAGAAAAAAAAAATAAACCATGCAATAAATTAAGAACATTGATAAAGCAAAGAAGAATGATAATGAAACCCGTCTGGCTATACTAACACCATGTCCAACTGTGGAAAGTGCATTAACACTGGATGAAACAAGCACACAATGGCAATAATTAAAATTGCTACAGTCAATTGGATTTTGGAATCTTGGACCAAATTTTGAAATACAGTTTCCTATAACATCTTTCCTCCAACATTGTAATATTCCTTTTTCTTATTCCGGGAAAAAATTCTTTAAATGGTATACATACATAGAAGCTACTTTTATACATGTTATGTGACCTCAGAATGACATGACATGGGACTTTGCAAACCAAGGAGCAGAGTTCTTGAGGAAGGCAATTCTTGAGTAATTGATCCTCAAGGCCAAATGTGGCAGAGAGGACAAGGTTAGGGGGTGGTCTTTGTAACTTCTTGGTCAGGCAACTCTTGAAAATGCAGCATGTATGTCACCTACATATGTCCTCTGTATGTTATGTATATGGGAGATGTCTACATATGTGAGCGTGTGCATAATTAAGTACATACACAATATATATGTATTTCATTTAAGACATCTGTTATCTGAATGTATCAGAAACCTAAGCTGAAAAAACAAATGGCTCTGATGTTTATGTTTTGCTGCATAACAAGAGTATTGTCCTTCAATACTTTTAAGAGCCTCTAGTGTCTACTTGTTTCTTCACCATGTCAGTTCTTTAGGTGAAGAGTATTGCCACAGACTTGTAAACTTGTGGGGGGTAGGTAAGGAGGGGGAAAAAGCACAAAACAAATATTTCACAAGGTTGACCATTTGTTTGTTTTTAAAAAATACACTCTGCACAAACTAGACTGTCTGGAGGGAAAAGGGGGACCTAAGGGAGAGGAGCAAAGAAGGAGGGGCATTGTATATATACAACCTTGGATCTTTAAACTTTGCAGGAAAAAAAAATTGGGTTTGGTTGTCTGTCATAATATACACAACACATTTTTAATACAATAACAAAGTAACAGTCCTTTGTACTAGGGGGAAGATTGTGCACAAAAAATTAAATAAAAATAGTTGCTGGGATTTTATTATGTTGTCGGTTTGGTGTGTATGATTTTGTTTGATTTTTTTTTTCCCCCTCTCCTGCTTGGTTATGTCAGACTAACCCCCAGTCCCGGGAGCTAGGAAGTGTTTAGGACGGGTCTGGAATACACACCTTGGTAGTAGGCCGGCTCCAGAGCTGAGGGCTCGATGGGGCTCCTGGTGGCCACCGAGGCGCTGCTGAGAGGCAGGCTGGCAGGCAACGCGGCGCCGTAGGGCGAGTACTGTAGTGCCTGTTCGTATGCCTTGAAGTCCAGCTTGTGCTGCTGCTCCGAGGAGGACATGAGGTTGTTGATGGAAAAGGGGTGGTTGAAGGAGTAGTGGGGGTCCCCTTTCAGGTGCAGCTGGGACTCGTGGGGTGCCAAGCCGTGCGCCGGGTGGGAGGGGGGCACAGATGCCAGAGCCCCCGGCCCGGAGCTGATGGGGGGCGCAGCTGACGAAGCCGGAGTCTTCAGCTCCGAGGCGCCCCCTGTCGCCGCCGCCCCGCTGTGGTCCAGAGTCTGGGGGCTGGCGGCGGGCCCCGGGGCCGGCGCGCCCTCTAGCTGGCCGGCCTTGCCGTGCACGCCTCGGTGAAGCGGAGAGTCGGCACTGGGGTTTGCAGAGCCCGAGGGGTCCTTGCGACTCTCCGGGCCGCCTTTGGCGCCGCCACCTCCGCTCCCGCCGCCGCCACCGGTCCCGGGTTGCTTCTCGCACTTGAAGCGCTTCTGGCGGCGCAAGTAGCAGCCGTTCTCGAACATATTGCCTGAATCCGGATGCAGTGTCCAGTAGGACCCCTTGCCTGGCTTGTCTGGGGAGCGCGCCACCTTGACGAAGCAGTCGTTAAAGGACAGCGAGTGGCGGATGGAGTTCTGCCAGCGCTGCTGATTTTGCCGGTAGTAGGGAAAGAGATCCATGATCCACTGGTAGATCTCGCTCAGCGTCAGCATCTTGCTGGGCGCCTGCTGGATGGCCATGGTGATGAGCGAGATGTACGAGTAGGGTGGCTTGGCATGCGGGTAGCTGCGCTTGAAGGTCTTGGCGTCTCCGCCGCCGGTACGACTGCGGCCCAGGTTCGACGGCGCGTACGCCATGGGGCTCATGCATGGGTTCATGGCGGCTGCGTAGGGGCTCAGGCCGTTCATGGAGGCCGCCGGCTGCGCGCCCATGGCTCCCATGCCTCCTGGGCTCAGCGCCGCCCCCATTGCCGTTACGCCCGCTGCGGTCATGCTGTTCATGGCGCCCGCAGACCCCCCCGGCATGCCGGCCACGGCGCCGGGGCTCAGGCCGGCACCCAGGCCTGGGTTGGCGTAGGACATGTTGAACGACGCCGGGGTCATGTTGCCACTCGTGGTCATGGTGTTCATGGTCATGTAGGTGTTCATGGAGTTCATGGAGCCCAGGCCCGAGTTCATATTGCTGACCGGGACCGAGGAGTAGGCCTGGAGCGGAGACAGCGAGAAGGAAAAGCCCCGATGGGCGGATTAGTGGTGGGCGCAGGAGGGCGTCAGGCCCGGGGCAAACCCGAGGGCCAAAGCACAGCATTTTTGCAAACCATGGGACCCCCAACCCGGGGTAAACTATCAGGCGCCCTCCCCAGACCAAGTACAGAGAGCTTTTGCACTGCAGGGGGGGGAAATCCTAGCGCGGCAGGCATAAAAGAGAAGCACTCGCAGATAATATGTCCCCGGAAAGATGTGTAATCGCTTTACACGCCAGGCGGAGAGGCCGGCTTCCAGGGCCCTCCTTCCATTTTCTCCATCCACCCCAGACCGGCCTTGGCAAAGCGCCCTTTTGGGCAAATCGTCTTTAAAACTCCGAAAATAGAATTAATCCTTGACCCTCTGCTTATGTACTTCATCCTAAGGGTGAGGTGGGCTCGCCGGCGCAGCCCCACTGGGCAGAAAACAGGGCACCAGTTGCGCGCCAACCGCGCGGGAGCTGCCCGGCTGATCGCGCAATGGCCTTTCCTTGAAAAAGTAAATCATCCATGGCCATATGACCCCTATGAATGAATCATTCATTTCCCAACAACTGATGGGATTGTCTTAGTTTTCGCCAAATGGTGACTTTTTGTTGTTCATTATATTTAGTAGTGTTTTCCACCTACTTGTGGCAACCGTATTTTGAAAACGGAAACAATCTCAAAAGTTAAATGAGATTTGGAAAAATACAATGAAAAATAAACCTGCAACAGCAGTAGCAATGAGGGGTGTGTAATGATATTACTGGATCATGCATATTCAACTTTAACATGACTTTACATATACACTTGTGCAAGTAGAAAACTTGAATTAATTTCATCATTAACCTATTTTCAGTTGACGAAATAATCATTTATTTTTCGCACATTGATGTTGCTGATGATCATTTCAAAGCTTAGCCTTTCAAACAATAAGAGTTGTTTAAAATAATTTAAAATTCCGTGATCAAACTCTACTTATTATTTTTTTTTTAATGCTATTCTACTTCCTACTTCTCAGCTTTAACCTGTAAGAAAGCTCTTTCGCTGGGAGACACATAATTAGCTGCTGAGTGGAAAGGAGTGAATCAGAATCAAACATTTGGAAGAGGTATGAACTCACTTTAAAACCATCAACACGCGAACTCTTCTGAGTAGCAATTTGGGACTACCCTAGATTAAAAATATATAGATAGGGTCTGGAAATATACATATTAAATAACTACTTCTGTAGTTATTTAGTAAAGAATAATAATGCCTTTATATTTATTTCATCAGCAAATATGACTCCATCTGAAAACATAGAAGGTGATCAGATAGATTCAAATAGGGATACACTATACGTTATGGTATGCAAATAAGTTCAGGGATAAGTTTGTAAATATATAAATATACACATCTAAATAAATTACCCATGAACATTCCTTCTCATTCTACATTTTTCTGTCTATACATTAAAGTATTTTTACTTTGGGGTTTATTTTTCTGCCTTGTCCCAAAGATTATCCAAAGCTGTTTCAATAAGCATTTTCAGTAATAGTAATTAAACTTTTTTTGAGTAATCATCAGCAGTTTCCAGAGGAATACTTTTAATGTTTGGTCCAGCCGTAACCTGTTTTTTCTCGCAATCATTTTGTGCAAATTGTGAATAAACCCTATGAACGTGCCACCAAAGGGACAATGAAGAGAAACAGGTTCTCGGTCCGAGTGACGGAGGAAGAGCCAACTCGCACTAGCGCCACCCAGTGGCCTACAGAAGAATGCGCACACTTCTCCCCGAAGAGGGTTTTTGAAGAACAACAAGTTTTATACAATTTCGGAATGGTTTCATTATTAAGAAACTCAGCTTTGCGGCAGAGCTCTTTCATTAGGAGGTCTCTGCGAATTGAAGGGCGGGACAAAGAGGCTGCCCTGCTGGCGCGCTCTGGCTTTCTCAGAGTTGCCTCTAACTCGTGCCGGCGTCCGCCCGCCAACCGGCGGCAGCCAGGCCGGGTTCAGTCTCCCGCTCTCGGCTGGGAAGAGGCAAGACCTTCCCAGAGTGGGTGCTTTCAAAGCTTGGAGTTTCCTAAAATCCTCTCCTCCGCAGAGAGGCCGGGTAGGAGCCGCACCGGGAGGGCAGTCGTGGCAAGGAAGAGGCTCCCCTATCCCGCCAGCAGCCCTCCCTGCCGGAGCCCGCCTTTCTCCGGCTCCTTTGCGGCAGGCTCCGGGAGTACCCCGCCGCCTGCACGGCTCTCACCTCCTGTGTGTCCGCGTAGTAGCTGTTCCAGTCGCTGCTCTCATGCCCTTCCATCTTCACAGTCCCTAACATCCTGGAGCCACCCTACCCGGTGCAACCATCCAGCCCTGTGCCAAGCGACGGGAGGCCGCGAGGGGCGGAGGCAGGGAGCTGAGCAGCCTCAGTCACCCGAGCGCCCGCGCGGGCCCAACGCCACCTCAACAAGGAGGAAGCCCGGC